CCTCTTTTCTTCATTTTCAAATCAGTAATAATATTGATATTTGCCTCTTATGAATTTAATGGAATTTATTGAATAAAAGCAGTTCTGAAATAATCATTTTTTAAAAAAAAACAAAACAATTTGACATCATTATAAGAATGGAAGGAGCCATCCCTGGTCACTTCCCATGACTTTTTGTTTTGGGTACTAACAACCATATCCACAACAGAACAAGACACCGCCCGGGCCTGCAACAACCTTCTAGGTATTGTCATGTTTGAGCCCATTGCTGCTGCCACTGTGTCAGTCCATATTGTTGAGAGTCTTCCTCTTTTTCATTGACCCTCCACTTTATCAAACATGAGGTCCTTCTCCAGGGACCTATCCCTCTTGACAACATTTCCAAAGTATGGGAGATAAAGTCTCTCTATCCTCGATTCTAAAGAGCATTCTAACTGCATTTCTTACAAGACAGATTAGTTTGTTCTTCAGGTTTTCAATATTTTTCTCCAGCACCCTAACTCAAATGCATTGATTCTTCTATAGTCTTCTTTATTCGTTGTCCAACGTTCACAGGCATATGAGGCTACTGAAAATACTATAGCTTGGGTCAGGTGCACTGGAGTTCTCAAAGTTCAAAATTTTTGCTTTTGAACACTTTAAAGAGGTAATTGTACAGCAGATTTGCCTAATGCAATAAGTGGTTTGATTTCTTGACTGCTGTTTCAATGATCGTTGTGGATCCATGCCAAATGAAATCTTTGACACCTTCAATCTTTTTTAATTTATGATGATGTTATTTATTGGTCCAGTCATGAGGATTTTCACTTTCTTTATGTTTAGGTACAATCCATACTGAAGGCCAGAGTCTTTAATCTTCATAAGTATTTGAAGTCCTATTTGTTTCCAGCAAGTAATGTTTGTCATCTACATATCCCAGGTTGTTAATGAGTTTCCTGAAATCTTGATGCCACATTCTTCCTCATGTAATCCATCTTCTCAGATTATTTGCTCAGCATATATATTGAATAACTATGGTGAAAAGATGCAACCCTGGCTCACACCTTTCCTGATGTTAAACTGGTCAATATTCCCTTGTTCTGTGTGAACTACGGTTTCTTGATCTATACACAAGTTTCTCTTGAACATAATTATGTGTTCTGTAATACCCATTCTTTACAATGTTACCTATGGATTGTTATGATCTTCACAGTAGAATGCCTTTGCATAGTCCATAAAGCACAGTAAACATCTTTCTGGTGTTCTTTGCTTCCAGCCAAGATCCATGTGACATCAGTAATGATAGATTTCATTCCATGCCTGCTTCTGAATCTGGCTTGATCATTCCTGGCAGCATCCTGTTAATGTACTGCTGCAACCATTTTAAGTATTCTTAGCAAAATTTTACTTATATGTGATATTGGTATCATTCAATGATTTCCACATTCTGTTGCATCACCTCTCTTTGGAAAGGGCAGAAATGTAGATCTTTTCCATTTTTGGTCAGCTTGCTGTCTGCCAAATTTCTTGGCATAGACAAGCTAGCACCTCCAGAACTGAATCAGTTTGTTGAAACACTTCAGTTTGTGGTCCATCTAGTCCTGGAACCTTGTTTTTCACCAATGCCTTCAGTGTAACTTGGATTTCTTCCCACAATGCCATCAGTTCTTGATCGTATGCTGCCTTTTCAAATAGTTGAGCATTGAGCAATTCTTTTTTGTGCAGTGACTCTGTGTATTCCCTTCATCTTCTTTTGATGCTTTCTGCATCATTTAATCTTTTGCCCATAGAATTCTTCAACGTTGCAACCCAAGGCTTGAATTTTTCTTCAGTTCCTTCAGTTTTAAAATTGCCAAATGTATTCTTCCTTTTTGGCTTTCTAACTGCAGATCTTTGCACGTTTCGTTATAATGCTTGACTTTGTCTTCTCAAGCTTCCCTGTATATTTTTTCTGTTCAGCTCTTAATTTCTTCTAGTTGCTTTGTTTCAGAGTTTCTTCTGACATTCATTTGGGCCTTTTCTTTCTTTCCTGTCTTTTTAATCACCTTGTGCTTTCTTCATGTATGATGCTCTTGATGTCATCCCACAACTCTTCTGGTTTTCAGTCACTAGTGTCTAATGCATCAAGTCTACTCTTGAGATGGTGTCTAAATTCAAGTGGGATCTGCTCGAGGTCATATTTTGACTCTCATGGAGTTGTTTTAATTTTCTTCCACTTCAGTCTGAAGTTGCATATGAGTAATTGATGGTTAAGTTCCAACTTCAATAGTCATAAAAACTATTTTGTGCTTGGACAGAAGAGTCTAAGTGTTATAAATGTACCCTTGGTACAGCAGGATACCAACAAAATAGGGAATTTTGCAAAGAGCTTTCAATTTAGCTTTTTCCACGTATTTCCCAAAACAAGTGAATGAATGGTTCTAAATCTCAAAATGAATGTGATCTGCCTTTCAGTGTTGTATCTTGTCCAGAAGGAAGAACATAGGAAATCACCACATTTGAAAGGTGTCAGGCAAGAAAACATCTTTGCCAAACTAGGGAGGGAAATAGCATTGTTGTTATTTGGACCTTTTTTCTAAGATGATCTGGACTAGACCTAGGCCAGGTCAAGTGAATTACAAACCACAGAAATTTTTCAAGTAAATCTTTTGAGTATTGAAAAATGAAAGGAGACCAATTGACTGTTGTCGTTGTTAAGTGTCGTTGAGTCAGTCCCAACTCATAGTGACCCTATATAGGGTTTCTTAGAAGTGGCTGGTGAGTTTAAACTGCCAACCTTGAGGTTAGAAATTCAGTGCTTATCTTACAGTACCACACCAGAACTCCACGAATTGGCTAGAAATAGTGCAATTTATTAAACATTCCAGTACTGACTCAAAGTATTTCCCACATAAATTCCATTTTACTTGGGCCTAATAGTGGACTCCTGGTGTGATGCTATAGGATAAGCACTGGACTGCAAACCATAAGATCAGCAGTTCAAACCCATCAGCTCCTCCTCAGAAACCCTGTACTGTTACTGTGAGTTGGAATAGATTTGACAGCTTTTAACAACAACAACAAATAGGACTAGCTGCTGATATTGATGATTGCTAAGTGAATGACCGAGAGTCTCAGTGATATTTTGGGTAAAATTGAACCCTACTGTATTTTCTTGTCACCTGTATAGCTTAATTATCTAGGAATCACTTGTTTTACTTAGGAATTCTCAGATCCTGGAGAACAGAGAGCTGTAACAGTTATCTTCTTTAACTCCCACATTATTGTGTGCTTTGTGCACCATACGACCTTATTTCAAATTCTCCAATTTTCTAGAAAGTGTTCCTGTTTAACACTTTTAGCAGGCAATCACTAATCCTAATAAGTACGGTTGTTACTCCCCAAGTGGATAAGTTTATATATATTATTATTATTATTATTATTATTATTATTTTAACTAGACACATATCCTTTGGCTCCTTTTCTCCAGAAATTTCTATTCAATTCTTTAAGAGATACCTTGACTCAAAAATCTTACTTTACATAAAGTTCCTTAAAAACATGGCTGGCTCTCCACTCCTTCACTCTTCCTTTGGCTTCAGTCACATGGGCCTTCCTGATGTCCGTGTAGGACACGGTATACTCAAAACCTGTGCCCACCAAAGGGCTTTGCATTTTCTATCCCTATTTCAAGAATGGCGTCCTGATGTGGCACTGTAGAATAAGCACTGAACTGCTAACCAAAACGTGGCAGTTCAAACCCACCAGCTATTCCTTGGAAACCTTATACAGGATCGTTATGAGTCAGAACCAACTTGACAGCACTTACAACAACAATTCCAAGAACGCTCTTCTCCAGATACCTTCCTTACCTGCTCCTCCTGCCTTGAGGTTATCTCAGGAGAGAGGCCTTATTTGAGTAGCCAAGCCAATTGCCATTAAGTCGATGCCCAGTCATGGTGATTCCATGTGTGTCAGGCAGGAACTCTTCCTAGACTTGTCAAGGCTGTGACCTTTTGGAGGTAGATTGTCAGACCTTTTTTTTCCCAAGGTACCTCAGGTGGGTTTGAGGTTAGTTTTTCATTAGTAGTCCTGTACTTAACCATTTGTCCTAGCCAGAATTCCTCTTTCTTAACTACCCTACTAAAATTACACTCCCCAATTCTTTTATTATCCTGATTTATTTTTTCCCATGACACTAAACCCCACCTCATACGAAGGGAACTTCAGAAAGTTCATGAGAAAATCAATGAAAAGACAATGGAATTTTTCCATAAATTTTTGAAGCCCCCTCATATATATGTATTTGTTTTTTATTGTTTACTCGTTATTATCATCTCGCAGAAGCTGCAGTCAAGAGATCAGATGATATATTGCATTAGGCAAATCTGCTGCACAGGAACTTTTTAAAGTGTTGAAGAGCAGAGATGTCAGCTTGAGGACTAAGGTGCGCCTGACCCAAGCCATGGTGTTTAGTTATGGTGTTGGAGGAGAATACTGAAAGTGCCATGGACTGCCAAAAGAACTAATAGATCTGTTTTGGAAGAAGTGTAGCCAGAGTGCTCCTTGGAGGCCAAGATGGCTAGGCTTCGTCTCTCATACTTTGGACACATTGTCCAGAGAGAACAGTCGCTGGAGAAGGATGTCATGCTGGGTAAGGTGGAGGGTCAGAGAAAAAGAGGAAGACCCCTAACGAGATGGATCAGCCAGGTGGCATCATTGATGGACTCAAGTGTGGCAGTGGTAGTGAGGTTGGCCCAGGATCGGACATTGTTTTGTTCTGCTGTGCATGGGGTCGCTATGAGTCGGTTCCGACTCGATGGCACCTCACAACAACATCATCTTCACACAAGTAATTAATTTTCCAAAAGCAGGGACTTTGGTATGTCCCTAGTGGTATGTCCTATTCCCTAGGGCCTAGTATGAAGTAAGCACCCAATAAACATTTGCTAAATTAATGGATGGAGTCAATGATTTGTTTTTTATTCTTTTTTATTTTAAAGAGATGTGAAGGTAAAGAAAAAAATCCACAATTTCTATTCTTAAATATTTTGAGGAAAAATTGATATTGTAGTAGGTAATAAGAACAAATTCAGCATAGTCACACATAAAGTCATGCTGAGAAACACTAGTAGATTAAAGTTAGTAGGAGAAGACTTGTTCTTCCCTCCCAACCTGTCAGAAGAGTGTTGCTGGCAAGACTCTCCTTGCCAGCCAAAATAGCAGTGGCACACAAATTCACTTTTCATGTATTTTACTGTCTTTGCCTTTTTTTCTTGTGAAATGGTGTATCTGAAGCTTTGATTCTGGACATATTTCTTCCTGCTGCTTTCAGGCATATGCAGATAGGAGAAGGATTCAGGCGTTTTCCGAACACACCTTCCTTTCTTGTTACATAGACTTTTACTGCACAGCCAGGCAGCTGATGTCACATTAATGGCATAGTGGCCCAGTGACCCTAGGATAGATTGTCGCACAGTTAAACAGGTCTCCTGTAAGAACAAAAAAAGAGAGAAAGAGAGAAGAAATTTATTTAACTTATTCTTGAAATGAGATCCTAGTATTCAGGTGGCGTTCATGCCTGAAGTTTTGACATTGGTAAAGCTAAAAGAGAGCATTTCAGTGGATTAAATGAGGGACTAAGTCTTGATACTGGTATGGTGCTGTGAGTTAATGTGCCAGACTGCAAAGCCGTTTGAACTACAAGGTCAGAGGTTCAAGCTCACCAGCTGCTCCTCAGAAACCCTATACAGGGTAACTATGGGTCGGAACCGATTCGATGGCACTTAACAACAACAACAAGCCTTGATACATAGTCCTGGTGTGGCGCTGTGGGGTAACGCACTGGACTGCGAAGTCGTTTGAACCACAAGATCTGTAAAGTTGGCAGTACAAGCACACTGGCTGCTCCTCAGAAACCCTGTGCAGGGTTGCTATGGGTTGGAACTGATTCGACGGCTCTTAACAACAGCAACAAGCCTTGATAAGAGACTCCTGGCATAGTACTGTAGGATCAGCACAGGACTTCAAACTCAAAAGTCGGTAGTTAAAACCCATCAGCTGCTCCTTAGAAACCCTGTACAAGGTCACTATGAGTCGGAAGCAACTCGACAGCACTTAACAAACGTCAGTAAAGTTGCGTAAATGATAATCCTAATCTTTGATTAAGGAGCTCTGCTAGCGTAGTGGTTACAAATCGGCCTGCTAACCTCAGGGTCAGCAGTTTGAAACTACCAGCTGTTCCATGGGAGAAAGATGAAACAAAGGCTTTCTTCACCTGTAAAGATTTACATCCTTGGAACCCCTGTACAGGGTCACTATGAGTCGGAACCGACTCCACGGCACACAACAACAACAATCTTGATTAGGAAGACTATGAGTAACCAATTCCATATCATTTTCTAGGGGAAGATGAGCCCATTTTCCCATGTGAGAATCTTCCTGAATGAGATATTTGTAGTAATATTTTGAAAAGATCATTACTGGTATGGAATGATTTTGTGAAATTTTACTGTAATTGTGAAATATTTTAAATACTGGTATTTAATACATATTAACATTATGTCCAATTTTTCTATATCCAACAAGTCATCCCGTTCTTCTCTCTCCCCAGAGATAACCATCCTCCTAAAGTCAGAGGGTAGTCTTTCAACTCATGTTTTGTTTCTGATTTACTGCATTTCTATGTCTTTACGAAATATTTGTATTTTTAAAACATTTACACAACCTGTCATGTGAGCTATCATTGTTTATAAGTTACTTTTCAGATTCAACATATTTCTGAGGTATTTCCATGTGGATAATGTACTGTTGTTGTTGTCAGTTTCCCTTGAGTCAATTGACTCATCACGTCCTTGCCAACAACACAACAAGACACTGCCTTACCCTACTCCATCTTCACAATTATTGTTAGGTCTAAGCCCATTGCTGTTGCCATGCTGTTGGTCCATCTCATTGGGGGTCTTCCTTTTTCTGGCGTACCCTCCATTTTACCAAGCATAATTTCCTTCTCCAGTAACTGCTTCTTCTTGATAACTTGCCTGAAACATGAGAGACAAAGTCCTGCCATCCTGGCTCCTAAACAGAATTCTGATACTTCTTCCAACACAAATTTATTTGTTCTTCTG